GTTGCCATAGCAATTTTGTAATTTCACATGTGAAATTATGAATTAACGCTGAAATTTCGCGCCAAAATTAAGGAGTAATTTGTCACCCATGATATTATTGTTCCATATCATGGGGACAACCCCAATACTAGAAATGGCGCGCGCTTACGGTCTCCGTCCCCGATTATGGCTCCTAGTGGATACCAAAAATATTGAATTGAAAAATAATAGGTGCCGTCAAGAGAAGTTGCTGTATGATTTGTTGAATGAAGAGAGATTTCCGGAAGATAACTTTCGCTCAGGTTGTCAAAACGTCAGTCACCAACAACAGTTGTTTTCAGACTAGTGCACTCACCCGGACGATCACGCTACACAAACTAGGAGGGTTCTATTAAATACTGTTCTGCTTCAAGGGTTGATTCTATTCAGTAAACCTATGCGAAGAGAATTAAGCTTAGATTCAGCACTCTTTACGTACACATGCCTCGCTGTGGTCAGTCGTTTTGAAGATTCCTTCTTCCGGATAATTAATATTTTAGAAATACGCTGTCATATTATTATATTAATTAACGTAACATGTGGAAAGAAAGGCACGCTAGTTTTGATATACAGTCGAACCTCCCGTAAGCGACCACCCAAAATTTCAAGCCTAGGTGGTCGTCCAAGGGAGGTGGTCGCTTACGAGAGCCTGGACCATACTGGGTCAAAAAGCGTATGGTAACTACAGAGACTTACCCCATGTTTTAAGCGTTTTATTCATGTGAAAAATCAATTTCGAGGAAAAAAAATCCGGCTCTTACCACTAAGAAATTTTGATCTCTTGTACAACCCAGGAATGCGATAATGTTACATGTACAACATTTTATTATCCAATTTTTGCTCTATTATCTGTCAAGTGGACGCTTACGGGAGGTTAAAAAAAAAAGAAAATTTCAAACTTTCAGCTCTAAAAGTGGTCGCGATCACTTACGAGAGGTGGTCGCTTACAAGAAGTTCCAAATATAGTGATTGACTTGGAAACGTTTAGTAAATTGGAAAACTGGTCGCTGAGTATAGGCGGTCGCTTACGAGAGGCGGTCGCAACCGGAGGTTCGACTGTATTATGACAAAAAGCTTTCTTTTTTGCTAATTATACGTGTTTCCTGAAAACAGGAATATTTCAACCAGTAAAGAAAAGATTCAATCGATGTTGATTGATGCAGTTTGAGTAATTTTTGAACAAATTTCGTGCGCTGTATAGCTACTGTATAAACCAATAAGACCTTAATTACTGGCCCCAAGGGAAACGGTGAGTTTTGTTTCCCCGGGACCCTCGAAAGTTCAAGTTGATGCAGTTCCCTAGGGATTTAGTGAGTCTTGCTAGCCCCAGGGATTTAGTGAGTTTTGACGCACGACAGGTGACACGTTCTCCTCCAATCGGAAAACGTGTTTGAGTTGGGAGGTATGACCTTTGTCTTCCCTGGGAATAACTTAATTCTTACAGTGTGCCTTCTGCGTGTGACATATTTCCTCCTTTTTTTGAAGTTAAATACTTCCTTTTATACTCAAAGAAATATGAAGGCCATATTTACCTTGGGCTTCTTGCTGTCAACTCTGCTTTATATTTGTACTGCGGATATCTACCTCCACAACCCACCTGGAAGCAACAACAGATTGAACGGTAATCAGGCCAACGTGAGAAACGCCAACAGGCTCTTTGATTCTCAGGTATGTTTGAACCTATTAATCCGGAACATCTTTCTCGCCAGTCATATATATATATTGCCGTGTAGCTTTGAGAAAGCGGCGAAATTGTACCAGGATTTGAGATTGCATCGAACCAGCGACAGTTTGAAGAAGTGTCACAAAATTACATAGCGATTTACGACGATAGTAATTGAATTATTTTAAAATTTTCCTTTTGTGACCGTAAGCATTCCACTTGCACGAAATTATTTACGTCATTTTAGCTTGTGAATCTGTTTTCTACAACACTATCCTTTCAGCTGAGCATGAAATGACATAACAGTACCGAATTTTGTCATTCATTAATGTTGGTGTTTTTGCAGCCTACGCGACTAAGAAATGTACCAGGACGTATTACGCACGTGCGGTGTTGTTATTGTGCAGCTCATAAGGCTCCGCCCAAAATACGCCCGGAGAAATTTGAAAACGCAGCTTTAGGTTAGGTCCACCGTCCACACAAATCCGTCACGAAAACGGAGTTTTTCGAAAACGCTCTTCTGTTCGGTTGAAGTTTCTTAAGCCAATCGTGTAGCGTGCTAGTCGTGCAAAACCAATTACTTTTCGAAAATCAAATGAAAATCGCTCTATTCTATCGCTTCTATCTCGTAGAACAATGGTAAAGCCGGATACAACGTTGGAGACAGTGGCAGTGGTAATCCAGGAGAAAACATACAGGAGAAAAGGCAACTCCCACAGGTAAGACATTTTTACCTCATTTTTCGTTTTACACGCTCTTCTCTGACTGTGCACATGAATGATGAAATGAAGCAATAAGAGCATACGGTTCGCTGTACTGAACTGCTCTGATTATCAGCCGCTGTCCGGGAAAGGAGCCCGTGCTCCTCCCTCCCTCCTTCCCCTACCCCCCCTCCCTCCCCCCTCGAACTCTCCTCTCGGGGAGGAAAGTGGACCGGAATCGTGAGAGTGGCCGAAATCGAGTCCAGGTTTTCTCCTGGCCTTCTTCGAACAAAAACCAACACAATTAGTCAGATGCGGTAAATCACCTCAAATACATACGAAAACTATCTCAGCCTCTCGAAGCCGAGCGCGGGGAAACACGCATACATTTTGTCTGATGTTTTTTGTTTTGCCTCCAACCAATTTAATTGAGAACCGGCTTCCACTGAATTGTACGCACTGAACCTAGCCAAGCGTAAAGTTGTCTTCTACAGGCAATTGAAAGCTGCTTCTTTTCTTAATCCAAAGGAATATTTCATGAGCGGCTGTGAGAAGGACGCCCAAACCGAGCTAGAAATTATGTGGACAAATCAACACGGGACCGGCCCTTTGACTGACGACAGAGTGGAAACACAAGTTATCTTACAGTACATGTGTCAACCGTACCCTAGTGGCAAAGTGACGGATATCAATAACGACTTTCAGCGGCATACCATACGTAATGGAGGGAACCGCAACACACAGAACTTCCGGCTTGATGATAGAGAAGATCGGCAGGCTATAATTAACCGAGGATTGCACGAGCCATTTCATCACTATAACACTATGCTGCGAAGAATACGAAACAAAGGTATTTCCAGAACCAGTTTTTATCCGTACCCGCAAACGCATTGCTACTCATTTAAAGGAGCTATGTCAAAATATTTTATCAAGTGACTTTTATTATGGAAAGATCAGAACTGAATTACTTTCAAACTGATGGAAACCTCAAAAGTATTAACAAAGAAAAAAGTAATTAGATTGTAGCTTGGCTACAATCTAACTAAGACAGATAGATACGAACGAAAAGGTAAAAAGCTTGGCCAAGTTTTTAAACCAAGATACGCCGTACATTAAACTCAAACTGAAGCCCACACGCAAGACCTTGACTAATGTGGAATGATGTAAAACAGTCTTAAGCTTTGGACATGGTATTTGGTTCCTAATAGCAATGTTTGAATGACGTCGCTAACATTGACTGTTACTCTTACTGCTTTATAAGAACTCCCAATACTTGCAAAATATTTATAGAACAGAGCTCCACTCTTTTGTTTAAAAAAAAAAATGTTTCGCTGGAAAAACCAAATTCCGCGAGCTTTAACGAAGGAAACTGAAATGCGGAAAACAGCTCCTAAAGACGTTAAATCCACGAAACAGTATTCCAAGAACTTTGTCACAACATATAGTTTGGCATTTTGTGCGACTTATTTTCACATAACAAATCATATTAGAAGGCGGAAACCTCGTCTCAGAGGGAAATGCCGGCTGAAGGAATACTTTCTAACGTGAAGTTCAGGTAACTATACTATCTTTAAAATCACGATTGAAACAAATTGAGACGTTAGAACAAGAGATTTAAGTCTCCATGCATGACGCAAACGAAAACTGCTTCCTAATTTTCTTGTCTATAATATAAATTTATGACGAGCTTTCCGCCTGACCGATTTTCCCGTTGCATTAGTCGGAAAAATGGACGGATGAATTTCAGACGGGAGACTTGTCCTTCACTGTATTCAGATCAGTCGAATTTCCGGTCCATCGCTATGTAATTCCTTTTCTGGAATGAACACTAATAACACTCAACCATCACATAGGTTTGTTTACCGCTGATCAAAATCTAAAAGGAGACACGCCGCAATACACAAGACAGAATGCCAACGGTAACAGACGAGGCTATGAAGTACCAGAGGAGCGTGATTACTATCCCTACTGGGGCCCCAGCCCGTTTAAGGACATTGCTATCATGGTCAGTGACAAAGCCACGGAGAAATTGATGAAGGAATATGTGAACAGTCCTGATCACTCGAAAAAAGGTAACTTAGCTTTAACGTTAGACAGAAAAAGAGTTTTTTTTTATTTTTCTTTTTAAATCGGGAAAAGCAATAACATGCCTGGAAGCTCGGAACGAAGACGAAGCAAGAGTTTTTATTTCCCGTCTCTTTTCGAGTTCCAAAGTGCAGGGAGCAGGGATGGCGCAGTGGTGAGAGCACTCGCCTCCCACCAATGTGGTCTGGGTTCGATTCCGGCCCGGTACCATATGTGGGTTGAGTTTGTTGTTGGTTCTCGCTTTGTTCCGAGGGTTTTTCTCCGGTTTCTCCGGTTTTTCTCCCTCCACAAAAACCATCATCTCCAAATTCCAATTCGACCAGGATCAAGGACCAGCATGGAAACCGACTAAGGCTGAGGTGGCTTCCTCTCTAAACATTGTAATTTAATTTTATTTGTTTTTGTTTGTCCCGCTCGTTCACGCGTTTTGATCCTGCGCTTCACTCGAAGATCCTACGAGGTACAAAAGAGACTGATAGAGAAGTACGCTGATGCGATCTCGTTTAATTTAAGGATTATGTATCATGGACGACGGTCTCCAAAACCAGCGAAGGTGTCCGAAAACACCTCCCCGCAACAAGCAGGCATCAAAATGTGTGGCCAGTTTCATCACCAAGGAAACATGCGAGAAAGGCGGAGGAAAATGGGTTGAAGTGGAAACAAACTACAAGGAAAAGCTCCCTTCACAAACAGACGGCGCATGTGCCGGCAAATTTCAGACTGTCAAAGGCGTGGCATACGAGCCCCATCAGATAACACAGATGGGATCAGACGGGACCGAAGAAGATCTTGTCGTTGCGGACCCAGCCGAGGTGATCTATGCACCTTCCACTGTTGTCAATCATAATGGACTGAATATGCACGGCAAGTTCTCCTCGTACACATGGAAGATTCCTTACTTTCCCTCCAACACCATTCAGCGATGCGTGTTGAGGATAAGGTGAGTGCAGGCTGGGTCATTCCCCACCCCACCCCCACCCCCACCCCCTCTTGCTAAGTTGAAGATGGCTATATCACATGACGCGCGATCAGGTGTTTAAAAAATATATAACAAACAAAAGTATCATTACAGCTGAAAGGTCGAGAAGTTGTCAGGTCTCAGGGGTAACTGATACAAGATACTTCCCAGATACTTCCCAGAAATCTCGCCATATTCCGTGTAAACACTAATTTCATTGAACTTGCTGCGTGTTGAGAATGAGAGAGATCGTCGGGAATTACTTATGACACTTATTTGGATGGTAAAGATGGTAAAGCTGTTTGCCATATCTACCTTTGTTTCTTCACTGTATACAAACTCTCGTTCTTTGGTCATCGTAGCTTGATTAAAAATACAAACACAAACAGCAGTGATAAAAAATGTGCAACAGTGCGTTTTTATGCTAAATTTGACGTTTCTATGCTGAGAAACTTCAAAATTTTAGGAACAACTATTTAAATCGTTCTTATTAAAGGTCTGTAAAATGTACATTGTTTAGCATACGAAACGTCAAGTTTATTATAAAAATACGTTGCTGTACAATGTTTATCGCTGCTGTGTTTGGATTTTTCTTTACTGGGTTTAGTCTTTTATTTCAAATGGTTTGCGGGGCTGATCGATCTTAAATCGCAAAACACTGCATATTAAGCACATATTCGTCAAAGTAACTTCATTTCGGAAAATATGAAAATATGTCCTGGAGTAATAATATCATAAGTTAGCGTAACCAATTACGTCACAAGTTAAAGTAACCAATTACGTCACAAGTTAAAGTAACCAATTACGTCACAAATTAAAGTTACCAATTACGTCACAAGTTGAAGTAACCAACTGTGTCGCAAGTTAAAGTAACTAATCGCATTTTTGCTAACCACTTTGTTTCTAAATTTTGACAGATACAACATTACAACAGGAGATGCACCAAGGAGTTTTGATGCCTCGAATAACGATGCGTACGTATTGAAGATATGATCTGTATTTTGCCCTCAAACCTCCATTCATCTAGTTGTCAGTTTGTTTCACATTAGTACACTGGAACCCCGTTATACACTCAACAACAGGCCTGGAAAATTTGGCAACATTATTGGGTGCCGTTTTAACGGGGGTAGGGTCAAATTTCATGACTCATCCATTCAATTTAAGCGACATCTTGACAGATATATCACAACCTCGCAGCATGCGGAAAGCAGATCTGAATTTTAAGTCAGTAAATACAATATTATCATGGAGGGATGGACATAACCAGGAGCCCATGGACTCCTGACACAACTGGATTCAGAAAAAGGTCACAGACAACATATTTAAATATTTTGGTAAATTTTTCAAGCATCCTTGGCAAGGTTCCTTTAAGTTCCCAAACCTTAGACTATATAAGGTGCGCTATGTTATTGCAGATATCAGCATGACCGTCTTAGGACAGTTTGAAATCTTTGAATTAATGAAAGCTACGTTTAATAATTTCTCTCTTAGCGTGAAAAATGATCCTACAACGCTGGCCGTGGACGGGAAAACTAAGCTGCAGCTCGCCTTGAACACAGCTCAGCTAGCTCGTACATTCCAAGACAGAACACACGTGTTCTACTTGAAACCAAGGAACTCACTTCCTTCTCGATTCAAGAATTCCAAAATCATTTACATCGGAGGAATGGGAAAGAGAGGAAACATTGTGCAGGCTTATCCAGCCATGGAATATCGCTTCGTTCCTGAACGTATTTCAGTTACCACCAATGATGTTCTGTGCTTCGCCTGGTCTGGTAAGTCAGTGGCGCTCTTATTATCATACTGGGAGCACGCGTGTAGCAATAATACACCGTCAAACAGACTTCCAAACACTAAGCAAATCTTGTGACGCCAACTGCCTGATAGACCTTATCACGAATTCGTCTGTTTCAAAAGACACTCGCTAACAATGGAGACGCCTTTTACGTAAATGCCAGACTCTAATTTTTATCCTAGGCATTCACCTGTTTATTTGTTACGATCATTTGAAAAACTCATACCAAAGAAGAGCAAAGAAAATCCATCCTTAGGCACCTAAAGAGGCCTTAGTCTGCATGCATTGCGGACCTATTACACCGTCAAATTTCGCGCAACTGGAAAACACAACATAACTGTAAAAACTTGATTCAACAAATGCTTTCCATCTCCACAGGCTCCAACAATAATCCAAATAATGCTGGAGAAGGACAAGCGCGTAAGTGTCTCTGGAATGTTTAATTTTTTTCTTTTATTTGTCGCAATCTATTTTAATTTTTTTTTATTGGCATTTATTTCGCTTCAATTTACGCTCCCCTCCCCTCCCCCACCCCCACCTCCCTCCTTGAGGGAACTACAAAAGATGATCTAATCAGTGATCTAATATATTTTTTTTATCCAGGAGTAAATATGGGTTTCATATATGTAAGCTGGTCTGCATCTCGGCTTGGACTACAGAATGGACACTGGGTTGTCGAAAGTGTGAATTCTAGCTTACTTGATGCTCTATGTAATCAGGTGGCCACAGGTCGATTTAGCCAATGCTTGCAGAAATTGTCACGTCGATTTGAAAATACTTAAAATGACCTCAATTAAGATTCCTCTAACCTACAAAACGAGAACCGCAGTCGCGCACCTTAGTAGAAGACATTCGTCATTTAATTGTTTACTTTAAGAGGAAAATAAAACACTCAGGCAACCCTGCCCCAAGTGTGAGAAGGCTTCGGTTGATTGGTGGTGATGTGACCGGTCAACGCCAGGGTCTTTTCCCGCCCTGGGGACGAGGTTGACAGCCAGCCTGGCAACTAAACGTTTCATTTGTTATTTTGAAGGCTCGGACAGAACAAACGTGTGTTGGGTAAAGGAAGGATGCAGCTCTCTCAAACCAGCAGCTTGCTCCAGCTTGCCTCTCGAAGTGGTTGACCAGGCTGATGCTTTCAGCCCTGAAAAGTTGAATCTTCACCTGAACACAGGATGCTACAGTGGTAATGTTGCCGATCTGCAGAGTCAGTTGAACAACGCCCCAGCCTCCTGCAATCCGCCTTGTTTCCGTATCAAGAAGCCTGGGGAGTACTGTTACATGAGCACGCGCAATAACAACTTCTCCAACCGACGTCACATGGGACAGATCACTGTTACCTGAGCTATCCTGGTATAAAACTCGATTGATCGATGTTCTAAAAAATAGGCCGCAAACGTAGTGTTGTTACTAGTGAAATAAAATATTGAAACAAGAAAACAAGGAATCTGCAATTTGCTTGGCGTAAGTCTCATTGTATCAACAACCTTTGCATCGGTGAAAATAAGATTCGAGTTTTTTTTTTCTTTTACTTGATCCTTTTAGCTGCGGTCCTCGGGTGCTTTCTGTGAAGCTCGTTTCCTGCAATCATAGCTTAACATCTGCCAGCTTTCCACCTCACACCATAACCTTGGATCTTATTTGGCACTTAATTTCTCTCTCTCAGATTATCCGCCGTGGAGTTGCCATCTGGCAAAAATGAAGCCACCAGCTTATTGATCTGCTTGTATAGATCTGTATAATTTCTGCCATTATATGAAAAGCGCTGTTCGGCCTCGTCCTCTAGATCTTTTTCTTGTTCAAATATCTGGCGGCCACTCCGACTCCAGATAGTTTTGCTTCGCACGGAGTAACGGAAGACATACCCAAACCCGCGCGCTCGGAAGTAGGCTGAACTTAAATAATTTTCCGTTTTCTGAATAACTTTGACACGTTAACGCGTTGTTTTCTGTCACTTAAACTGGATCGAATTTAAAATTACTTAATAACCACTTCCCTACCAGAAACCCTCTCCAACCAGCGGTTATGATGTTTTTTTTTTCCAACAACCGGTGAAAACTGATTCAAGCCATCAGGAAAAAACTGGACTCTCAGCTATGTCCCTTGATTGAGGATGCACATATACGTCCTCGGTGGTTGGGTGACACAACCTAGGACGTGTACATACTTCATCAAGCCTGGCACAAATAGCTCCAAAGCGCACCAAACCTTATGTGGTATACAGTCTCGGTCAGTAATGTTTAGTCAAAGAAAGTTTGCAAGTCGTTGCTTGTTCGTTCGTAGGTCTGCATTAACTGTCAATCATCGTATTGTTACCCTTCAATTAAAAGTCTTTCATAATATGAATGGCCTAACGTATACGAGTCAAGCCGAGAGAATTTAATAAAAATATTCGGTACCCTTGCTCAGTAACTAGTAATGTCGGCTCAAGTTGTTCTGCTTTAGGACTGAATTTTCTCTAGCCAAAAAAGTGGCCGACCAAACAAGAAGGTCACAGCTAGGTTCCTTTCCAATTATGAATAAACAACAGATTAACAAGCCTGCCTTCTTTACCAAGAGCGTGTGGTATTGTATGCGGAGTTACCTTTGAATGATTTGCGGGCAACTCAGAGCCAAACTCGTTTTTTAATACACACGTGACGCTCATGCAGGAAAGATAAAACTTCGCGAGAACTATCTATTCTCTGCTGGACATTACTATGACACAGGCAGCCCGAAAACCGCACCTCAAACAAGAACTTTCAAATTGCACATCCTATACAACACAAAGTAAACTTCTCGTCAGTAATACAAGCACTCTTATTTACCAAGAGTACATTAATATAATCTTCTTGTGCAACTTATGTTTGATCGAATCAAGCTGTAATTATAAACAAACATAGAACACAAACAGCGGTTTGGCTGAAAAGAAGCGACACTTCTTTTAAAATGAAGTTTGCAAGACGACGTCCTATCATGTTTATCAGAGAAAACTAAGGTTAATAAGTTCTACAGTAATACACTTTTTTATTGATTTTGGAAAACGTCGAGCACTGTAGCCTACCTAGGTATTTCCCGCCTGTAGTTGCGCTTTTCACTTTTTGGCCCTGAGCCATACAACTCCTTGACAAGAAACACTTAATCTGGTATTGTTTGTTTCAATTCCTTCTTACCATTTCCGTTAAATTTTGTCAACTTTTTCGAAAGATCCCTCCTCCGTCTAAGAGCTTTCACCTATTTTCTGAATACTAATTAATTATAAGGAGAAATTACAATTACAGTTGAGAAATTCTGTGAACAAGATTTACTTGAGTTGTATTGTCCTTACAAAATCCCGTCATGTTCTCGGAATCGTTTTGGCAAAATGAAATTCAGTTTCTCACGCACTCTGGTCAATAACTATGGTTTTCTTTTGTTCTTTCTAGTTTGTTCTTTGACTTCCTTTATGTTTCATTATGTGGCATAACATTGTCAGCGTATTTACTTTAAAAATGCTATGACGCAATTTATCAGAAATGATGGCACAGATTCGTTAAACAAGTTGACTTCGCTAGTTGTTCACATCAATGAGATTAGAGCAAAGAATATTTACCTTCTCGATTTGAGGCTTGGTAAATAACCTCTGGTATTAACCTCCACTGCAGTAATTTAATTAAATTGCCATTTTTAGATGTCAATCAAAAATGACATTTAAAGACGTCATTTATCACTTTTGTCTGCTTCCAAATTCCTTTAGTGCGCGGGATTACAGTTATGCAAAGCGTGCCATGAAAGCCATTTAAAGGTCAACTTGACACAAGACTAGAGACACTAGCCCAGCAGCTTAACGATTGCAGAAAAAATTAAAGGAAAACCACAGGTGAGTAGTAACATTTAAGGCACTTGAAGGGACCGGCTCTCGTGCATTTTATGAAAGTTGAGTTATTTGGCAATCACGTTAAACATTCCACTGTAATTATCCTTCAGGTAATTACAATATAGCTTCCTTAATTTTAGCTCCAAAATTGAAGAGGACGCAAATGGGTGAAGCGATCACGTAACTCAAAGCTTCATTTACTGTCAATCAGTGACATTAAATATTCTACTTCAGACCTTTACGCATTTGCAAAGTGAGTTTTATTCGTTAGTTAACACGGCCATGGTTTGTTTCTTTCTGCTGGAACAGGAATGATGAGGACCATTTTCGTTTGGAGCTGCCTCCTGGCTGTACTTATCGAGCCCTGCATGTCGGACATGTACATGCATTTTCCACACGGATCCAACAATCGTTTGAATGGTAACCAAGATAACGTCAAGAACGCAAACAGATTGTTTGATTCACAGGTAGGACCGGCCTTTACATTTACGCTTTTTTTCCAATTGATCAGGGTTTCCGTACCTAATCTCAAGGTTGGTGAAGTTAGAAGTCAAATCAGAACATGCATCTCCACTCTGACTGATGGCACACCAAGAAAGTATTACTAGCACCCCAAATAGATTCATATCTGCAACAACAACAACAACAATCTTTATTTCGTGCCCAGAAAAAATTTACAATAAAAATAAATGCATGCAATGTGAAAAAATAACAATGAAAAACAGAGCACAGCCACTTAGAAATAGCTAAGGCTAATCGAGCTAAGTGGCTATCTCAGCTTCTGTCTCCTTTATTTGACCAAAAACATGTTGATAATGTTTCAAATTAAAACGACAACGAAACGAAAACGTAAAATTCCTGACAGGTATAGTTGTCGAACAGGTCTTTGAAAGAACACGGACCTTTCGCCTGTTGTTCGGTATGAAACCACCAGCTAAATGATGTATGTCGAATATATAACTTAACAGCTCTCTATAAGTGGGTGCCGAAGTCAAAAGGTGGGGTATAATATTGCAGCGAATATTGGCACAATAAAAATTATTTCCACTAAGTTAAGGTGGAAACATAGGCTCGATTACTAGCCACTGTTCGGAAAAGTAGCCCGCACGGAACGGGACCGGACCCGGAAATCGAAAATAAAGGTGGATATTTGTCCTCATAAACTTGCTATATTGTGTTCATTTTTAGAATAACGGCAAAGCAGGATACAACGTTGGAGACAAGCATCATTTTAACCCTGGAGACAACATTCCAGAGTTCAATCAGCTTCCAGTGGTATTTAATACACTGTTGTCTACCTTTTGATTGGCTCATACCGCAAGATATAATTGTTCTTATTGTTCGTTTATCTGTTAGTTCTCTTTTGGGTTTGTTTGGTTATGATTTTCTGATCAGTTATTTAGTTCATTCATACTTATATGTGTATGTTGCGGTTTGTCAGGAGTTCTACATGAGTGGATGCGACATCAACGCCAAAACTGAAGTAGAAATCATGTGGACAAATCAACACGGGACCGGCCCNTTTTTTTTTATTGGCATTTATTTCGCTTCAATTTACGCTCCCCTCCCCTCCCCCACCCCCACCTCCCTCCTTGAGGGAACTACAAAAGATGATCTAATCAGTGATCTAATACATTTTTTTTATCCAGGAGTAAATATGAGTTTCATATATGTAAGCTGGTCTGCATCTCGGCTTGGACTACAGAATGGACACTGGGTTGTCGAAAGTGTGAATTCTAGCTTACTTGATGCTGCATGTAATCAGGTGGCCACAGGTCGATTTAGCCAATGCTTGCAGAAATTGTCAAGTCGATTTGAAAATACTTAAAATGACCTCAATTAAGATTCCTCTAACCTACAAAACGAGAACCGCAGTCGCGCACCTTAGTAGAAGACATTCGTCATTTAATTGTTTACTTTAAGAGGAAAATAAAACACTCAGGCAACCCTGCCCCAAGTGTGAGAAGGCTTCGGTTGATTGGTGGTGATGTGACCGGTCAACGCCAGGGTCTTTTCCCGCCCTGGGGACGAGGTTGACAGCCAGCCTGGCAACTAAACGTTTCATTTGTTATTTTGAAGGCTCGGACAGAACAAACGTGTGTTGGGTAAAGGAAGGATGCAGCTCTCTCAAACCAGCAGCTTGCTCCAGCTTGCCTCTCGAAGTGGTTGACCAGGCTGATGCTTTCAGCCCTGAAAAGTTGAATCTTCACCTGAACACAGGATGCTACAGTGGTAATGTTGCCGATCTGCAGAGTCAGTTGAACAACGCCCCAGCCTCCTGCAATCCGCCTTGTTTCCGTATCAAGAAGCCTGGGGAGTACTGTTACATGAGCACGCGCAATAACAACTTCTCCAACCGACGTCACATGGGACAGATCACTGTTACCTGAGCTATCCTGGTATAAAACTCGATTGATCGATGTTCTAAAAAATAGGCCGCAAACGTAGTGTTGTTACTAGTGAAATAAAATATTGAAAACAAGAAAACAAGGAATCTGCAATTTGCTTGGCGAAAGTCTCATTGTATCAACAACCTTTGCATCGGTGAAAATAAGATTGAAGTTTTTTTTTCTTTTACTTGATCCTTTTAGCTGCGGTCCTCGGGTGCTTTCTGTGAAGCTCGTTTCCTGCAATCATAGCTTAACATCTGCCAGCTTTCCACCTCACACCATAACCTTGGATCTTATTTGGCACTTAATTTCTCTCTCTCAGATTATCCGCCGTGGAGTTGCCATCTGGCAAAAATGAAGCCACCAGCTTATTGATCTGCTTGTATAGATCTGTATAATTTCTGCCATTATATGAAAAGCGCTGTTCGGCCTCGTCCTCTAGATCTTTTTCTTGTTCAAATATCTGGCGGCCACTCCGACTCCAGATAGTTTTGCTTCGCACGGAGTAACAGAAGACATACCCAAACCCGCGCGCTCGGAAGTAGGCTGAACTTAAATAATTTTCCGTTTTCTGAATAACTTTGACACGTTAACGCGTTGTTTTCTGTCACTTAAACTGGATCGAATTTAAAATTACTTAATAACCACTTCCCTACCAGAAACCCTCTCCAATCAGCGGTTATGATGTTTTTTTTTTCCAACAACCGGTGAAAACTGATTCAAGCCATCAGGAAAAAACTGGACTCTCAGCTATGTCCCTTGATTGAGGATGCACATATACGTCCTCGGTGGTTGGGTGACACAACCTAGGACGTGTACATACTTCATCAAGCCTGGCACAAATAGCTCCAAAGCGCACCAAACCTTATGTGGTATACAGTCTCGGTCAGTAATGTTTAGTCAAAGAAAGTTTGCAAGTCGTTGCTTGTTCGTTCGTAGGTCTGCATTAACTGTCAATCATCGTATTGTTACCCTTCAATTAAAAGTCTTTCATAATATGAATGGCCTAACGTATACGAGTCAAGCCGAGAGAATTTAATAAAAATATTCGGTACCCTTGCTCAGTAACTAGTAATGTCGGCTCAAGTTGTTCTGCTTTAGGACTGAATTTTCTCTAGCCAAAAAAGTGGCCGACCAAACAAGAAGGTCACAGCTAGGTTCCTTTCCAATTATGAATAAACAACAGATTAACAAGCCTGCCTTCTTTACCAAGAGCGTGTGGTATTGTATGCGGAGTTACCTTTGAATGATTTGCGGGCAACTCAGAGCCAAACTCGTTTTTTAATACACACGTGACGCTCATGCAGGAAAGATAAAACTTCGCGAGAACTATCTATTCTCTGCTGGACATTACTATGACACAGGCAGCCCGAAAACCGCACCTCAAACAAGAACTTTCAAATTGCACATCCTATACAACACAAAGTAAACTTCTCGTCAGTAATACAAGCACTCTTATTTACCAAGAGTACATTAATATAATCTTCTTGTGCAACTTATGTTTGATCGAATCAAGCTGTAATTATAAACAAACATAGAACACAAACAGCGGTTTGGCTGAAAAGAAGCGACACTTCTTTTAAAATGAAGTTTGCAAGACGACGTCCTATCATGTTTATCAGAGAAAACTAAGGTTAATAAGTTCTACAGTAATACACTTTTTTATTGATTTTGGAAAACGTCGAGCACTGTAGCCTACCTAGGTATTTCCCGCCTGTAGTTGCGCTTTTCACTTTTTGGCCCTGAGCCATACAACTCCTTGACAAGAAACACTTAATCTGGTATTGTTTGTTTCAATTCCTTCTTACCATTTCCGTTAAATTTTGTCAACTTTTTCGAAAGATCCCTCCTCCGTCTAAGAGCTTTCACCTATTTTCTGAATACTAATTAATTATAAGGAGAAATTACAATTACAGTTGAGAAATTCTGTGAACAAGATTTACTTGAGTTGTATTGTCCTTACAAAATCCCGTCATGTTCTCGGAATCGTTTTGGCAAAATGAAATTCAGTTTCTCACGCACTCTGGTCAATAACCATGGTTTTCTTTTGTTCTTTCTAGTTTGTTCTTTGACTTCCTTTATGTTTCATTATGTGGCATAACATTGTCAGCGTATTTACTTTAAAAATGCTATGACGCAATTTATCAGAAATGATGGCACAGATTCGTTAAACAAGTTGACTTCGCTAGTTGTTCACATCAATGAGATTAGAGCAAAGAATATTTACCTTCTCGATTTGAGGCTTGGTAAATAACCTCTGGTATTAACCTCCACTGCAGTAATTTAATTAAATTGCCATTTTTAGATGTCAATCAAAAATGACATTTAAAGACGTCATTTATCACTTTTGTCTGCTTCCAAATTCCTTTAGTGCGCGGGATTACAATTATGCAAAGCGTGCCATGAAAGCCATTTAAAGGTCAACTTGACACAAGACTAGAGACACTAGCCCAGCAGCTTAACGATTGCAGAAAAAATTAAAGGAAAACCACAGGTGAGTAGTAACATTTAAGGCACTTGAAGGGACCGGCTCTCGTGCATTTTATGAAAGTTGAGTTATTTGGCAATCACGTTAAACATTCCACTGTAATTATCCTTCAGGTAATTACAATATAGCTTCCTTAATTTTAGCTCCAAAATTGAAGAGGACGCAAATGGGTGAAGCGATCACGTAACTCAAAGCTTCATTTACTGTCAATCAGTGACATTAAATATTCTACTTCAGACCTTTACGCATTTGCAAAGTGAGTTTTATTCGTTAGTTAACACGGCCATGGTTTGTTTCTTTCTGCTGGAACAGGAATGATGAGGACCATTTTCGTTTGGAGCTGCCTCCTGGCTGTACTTATCGAGCCCTGCATGTCGGACATGTACATGCATTTTCCACACGGATCCAACAATCGTTTGAATGGCAACCAAGATAACGTCAAGAACGCAAACAGATTGTTTGATTCACAGGTAGGACCGGCCTTTACATTTACGCTTTTTTTCCAATTGATCAGGGCTTCCGTACCTAATCTCAAAGTTGGTGAAGTTAGAAGTCAAATCAGAACATGCATCTCCACTCTGACTGATGGCACACCAAGAAAGTGTTACTAGCACCCCAAATAGATTCATATCTGCAACAACAACAACAACAATCTTTATTTCGTGCCCAGAAAAAATTTACAATAAAAATAAATGCATGCAATGTGAAAAAATAACAATGAAAAACAGAGCACAGCCACTTAGAAATAGCTAAGGCTAATCGAGCTAAGTGGCTATCTCAGCTTCTGTCTCCTTTATTTGACCAAAAACATGTTGATAATGTTTCAAATTAAAACGACAACGAAACGAAAACGTAAAATTCCTGACAGGTATAGTTGTCGAACAGGTCTTTGAAAGAACACGGACCTTTCGCCTGTTGTTCGGTATGAAACCACCAGCTAAATGATGTAT